CCATCCCCCCCCTCCCCTCCTCCCTTCCCCGTAACTCCTCCTACCATAGCCAAATGGAGCACCATGATGCTGCAACCTTCTAAGGAGGGGGAAGGGGAGGTGAGGTGGAGACTGCACTCTCCTCAAGACGTGATGCTTCTGGGGGAAGGAGAGAGGGAGAGAAGAGGTGAGAGACGGGGTGGGCTCCACTCTCCTGCCCTTGCTCCAAGGCTCATAACCTTGCTCCAAGGCTCCAGATCCACACGCTGTAGGAAGGAAGGAGGGAACAGAGAGATGAGACAACCATACCTGACCTGCTACCATACCTGATCTGTTACCATACCTCTCTCGCTCCTAGACCAAGCCTGCCCTCTAACCACCCAGCCCCAACTGCTGCTGCTGCTGCTGTGTCTGCTGCTGCCGCTGCTGCTGCATCTACTGCTGCTTTCAGCTGCTCATCTTCCTCTGGTGCAGTCTCCAAATGGCGGCAAGTGACCTGGAGGGGGCAGAGGGGAGTGGCAGACAGAGAACAAGATACACGGGCCATGCATTTGGGAGAACGCAAAAGAAATCGCAGGAAAACGATCGGATTGCTCACCTTGAGTGGCCGACCCAACCCCAATACTCACCCTTGCAGCCGAGTGCAGTGCTGCCCCCCTCCCTCCCCACCAGAGCGGCCATGAAGGGAGGGGTGCGGGGGATTGCCAGTGTTGACCCCCGCACCCCACCCCTCCCCTCCAACCTGAAGGGGAAACACGCCAAGAGTCAGTGAACAGTGGAAGAGATAAGGGGCCGAAGCAATTTTTTAGGCGCCTCAAGAAGAGCGAAGGGGCCGAAGCATGGTAACCAAAAGCGGTAGTGTGGCGGGCAACCCATTGGTTTAAGCGTAGCCACATAGTGCAGACCCAAGGGGGAGTAGTTACCTGGGAGTAACCCGGGAAGGCTTATCCTAGGAAGGAGGCTTAACATAAGGGGGGGGGGGGTGTGGGCTGTACCTGGAACGGTGGGTCCCCATCAAGTGGCCAGGCTGCTACCAGTGGGTTAAGATGATTTTTGAGGCGCCTAAAAAATCGTCTCAAGTGGCCAGGCTGCTACCAGTGGGTTGAGACGATTTTTGAGGCGCCTCAAAAATCATCTCAAGTGGCCAGGCTGCTACCAGTGGGTTGAGTTTGGGATGAAACAATGTGATGCGAATGTGACAAGGGAAATGGATTGAATTGCTCACCTTGAGTGGCTGACCCAACCCCGATACTCTCCCTTGCAGCCGAGTGCAGTGCTGCCCCCCTCCCTCCCCACCCACCAGAGGCACCTGCACAGGCAGAGAGGAGGAGGAGAGGTGAGTTACGGTGGGCAGAAGAAACAGCGCTAGAAAAATGCAGAAAAACTATTTGAGTGCTCACCTTGATTGGCCGACCCAACCCCAATACTCTCCCTTGCAGCCGAGTGCAGTGCTGCCCCCCTCCTCACGCACCAGAAGCACCTGCACGGCCACAAGGGGAGGGGTGTGGGGGAGTGGTGGTGCTGACCCCAACACCACCCCTCCCCCAAGGGGCAAGGAGGAACACGCCAAGAGTCAGTGCACAGTGAAGGGGCAAAGGTGTACAAGCAAGGAGACCAAAATACGCGACGTTCGACGGGCAACCCACTGGTTAAGGCCTAGCCAAGTCGTGCAGACCCAAGGAGGAGTAGTAACCTGGGAGTAACCTGGGAAGGTTTAACCTAGGAAGGAGGCTTAACCTGGGGGGGGGGCTGAACTTGGAAAGGTGGGTCTGCACCAAGTGGCCAAGCTGCTACCAGTGGGTTGAGTTTGGGATGAAACAATGTCACACAAGTGTGGAACGGAAAAAGGATTGAAGTGCTTACCTCTGAGCAGCCGACCCAGCCCCAATACTCTCCCTTGAGTTTGGGATGAAACAATGTGATGCAAGGTGATGCAGGGTGATGCAGGGTGACGCAAGGTGATGCAAGGTGATGCAAGGTGATGCACAGTAGCGCCCAATCACGCCCGTCCCTGCTGTGCACAGTAGTGCCCAGTCACGCCCGTCCCTGCTGTGCACAGTAGCGCCCAGTCACACCTGTCCCTGCGGTGCACAGTAGCGCCCAGTCACGCCCCTCCCTGCTGCTGGACTGGACTGCTGCTGGCGCTCGCCCCTCTGACCTCACTGCGCCTGCTGGGGAATAGGGATGGCGGGGGAGGAGGGGGGGGAGAGGGGGATAGTCAGGTTGAGAAGAGAGAAGTTGGCACATGAGGATGGAAGTGGGCAAGCAGTGCAGAATGGTGGGGAGAGCAAGACCACCGGAGCAAACCCGTTCACAAGCCACAGACGTAGGGCTCTGTAGTAGTGGTTTTAAGGAGGCTGCAAGGGTATTTGAGGGGGGGAACCTGGCGGCGGGGGGGGGGGGGGGGGGGGGGGGGGTGTGGGGGTTACCATCTGTGGCTTGTGAGTGGGGCTGCAACCAGTGGTCGATTTTGAGACGGCGAGAATGGGCAGCAAATTGTGGGCGGGACGATGATGAGGGAAGGGCAGGGCGGCAAGGGGAATGGAGGCGAAGGGCAGGGCGGCGAGGGGAATGGAGGCGAAGGGTAGGGTGGCGAGGGGAATGGGCGAGGGCACTTGGCTGATTGAGCCGTGCAGTCGAGTGGCATGGCTGCCGCAGCAGGGCTTGCAGGCCGCGGAGTGGCCCGGCTTCCGCAGCAGGGCTTGCAGGCCGCGGAGTGGCGCGGCTGCCGCAGCAGGGCTTGCAGGCCGCGGAGTGGCGCGGCTGCCGCAGCAGGGCTTGCAGGCCGTGGAGTGGCGCGGCTACCGCAGCAGGGCTTGCAGGCCGCGGAGTGGCGCGGCTGCCGCAGCAGGGCTTGCAGGCTGTGGGGTGGCTAGGCAGTGGAGTGGCACGGCTGTGGGGTGGCGAGGCAGTGGAGTGGCGAGGCTGTGGAGTGCCGAGGTTGCTGCTGCAGGGCTTGGAGCGCGTGTGCCTGTGCGCTCCCCCTTGCCTGCCGGGACCCCCCTGCCAGGAGCAAATGCATGGGCGCACCTGGGGAGGTGCAGACGCAATGGAGCTATACCATGAGGGCTTGTGGCTGACCCTGAGGGCTGGACCTGCTGTACCTGCTGTACCTGTTGTACCTGCTGTACCTGGGGGATTAAACGTGCAGAGATGGGGTCGGCGGCCAGCAAACGGAGCGGCCACCAGTGGCACAATTTGAAGGGAAAAACGACTGGCAGCAACAAAGCAAGGGAAACTGCATAGAGGACACGTCACTTAGCTGGAATCAGATGCCTCTAGAAGGCGGCGATTTTTTAGTCGACTCAAAAAGCAAGGGAAGCTGCATAGAGGACACGGCACTTAGCTGGAATCAGACGCCTGGAGAAGGCGGCGATTTTTTAGTCGACTCAAAAAGCAAGGGAAGCTGCATGGAGGACACGGCATTTAGCTGGAATCAGATGCTTGGAGAAGGCGGCAAAGCAGCAGCAGCTGCTTGCAGACTCCCTCCCCTCAGGTGCTTGCAGACTCCCTCCCCTCAGCTACTTGCAGGCCGCCTCCCCTCAGGTGCTTGCAGCAGCCGAGGCAGCAGGTGGGATGGGTGGGGGGGGTGAAGTAGGTGCTGGCAGGCTCCCTTTCCTCAGGTGGGGTGGGGTGGGGGCAGGGCGGGAAGGCAGCAGTGAGTGCAGCCGCCACATCAAGGGATGGGGAGGGAAGAGGGCGACACAGAGAGGAGGAAATTCAGCGGTTGGATGGATGGACTAGTGGTCGCGATTCAGGCAGTAAGCGTGCATGTGAGGAAAGGGAAAGCAGTTGTTGAGACACCATCCATTCATGGAGGAGGATCGCCTTAATCACCTGTTTTTTTTTGGGGGGGGGGGGGGGGGATTTGCCCATGGCACAGGTGCGAGCAAGCGTCAGCAGGGGGGGGGAGGCGGGAGGGGGGCAGTGATGCGACACATGCGTGCAGCTAGGACACCAGGACTGGACTGGCCTAACCCACTAGACAGGACACTAGGCAAGCAGGTCAAGCACCATTCCATGGGCTGGGGAAGGGGGGAGGGGAGTGGCGGGGGGGGGGGGGGGGGAAGGGGGGATTGAGTAATGGAGTGAATGATGCAAGGTGCGTGTCGCTTGGGAGTGAAGCAACGATCAAGCATGGGGATGCATGCGGTGGGCCGAGAATACTTAGCTTCAAAAGTCAGCTTGTAAGATCCAGTGTTGAATTGCCCCCTCGCGTCAGACCCCTTGCGTCAGTCCCCTCGCTCCTCAGCAGTCTGCCAAGCGGGGGGACGGGGGGGTTGAGGGGAGCGGGAGCAAGGGATTGGGCGAGAGGAGCGTGAGAGACGAGTGGGTTGGGCAGAAACAGCATCAACGGAATAAGAGGAGGGAATGCGAGCAGACTTCCTTGACCCCCCTCCCTTGGCTACCAGTTGCTGTCCCTCCCTGGAGGGAAGGGAGGAGGATACAGGGTGGTCACGGTGGGGGGGGGGGGTGTAAGACCGTTTGTGAGGCACGAGAACGCAAGAGCTGGTCATGCCCAAGAGCATTCATAAACGAGCCTGCTGGGAGGATGTGGGGGGGAGGGAGGGAGGCACCCAAGGAATAGAGGCTCGAGCAAGCGGGGGGGACGTGGGGGGGACGGGGGGGGGGAGAGGGGGGGGACAGCAACAAGACGCATGCAGTGCGCAGCTAGGACGCTAAGACTAGACTGGTCTAACCCACTAGCGACTGGCGCTATGACGCTATGCAAGCGGCTAAAGCGCCCGTGCCATGGGCGGAGGAGGAGGCGGGGAGGGGGAGGGGGAGGGGGGGGGACGGGGGAGGGGGGGATTAAGAGATATGAGGGGTAGGATGCACGGAACAAGTTGCAGCGGATGGTGCATGGGGAAGATACGGGCAAGCAGCAAGGGGGTGCGTGATGTGGGGTCATGAACTTAGCTTCAGTTGGGAGATGAAGACAGCATCGCCTGCAGGGAGTGTCGCCAGCACGGAGCGTCACCAGCAGGGGCGTCGCTCCCCTTGCGCTCCATGCTTCCCAGCAGCCTGTGGGGGGGGGGGGGGGGGGGGGGGTGTGAGAGAGCGGGCGAGAGGAGAGCGAGTGAGAGAGAGAGAGAGAGCGAGAGAGAGAGAGAGAGAGAGAGAGAGAGAGAGAGAGGAGAGAGAGAGAGAGAGAGAGAGAGAGAGAGGAGTGGACTGGGCGAGAACAGCCCTTAACGGAACAAGCAGGGAAGACGGAAGCGGCCGCCCTCAGTTTCCACTTGCTGCCCTGGAGGGAGGGGAGGGGATGGAGGCGGAGAGGGGAGCATAGACCGCTGATGAAGCAAGGAAGGCATAGCTGGGCGTGCCAAGGAGCACGAAGAAACGCGCCTGTAGGGAGGAGGGGGGAAGGGGGGGGGAGGGGGGGGGGGGACGCCCAAGGCACAGAGGCTCGAGCAAGCGAGGGGGACGGGAGGGGAGGGGGGGGGGGACAGCAACAAGATGCATGCATGCGTGCAGCTAGGACGCTAAGACTAAATTGGCCTAACCCATTAGCGACTTGCAATATGACGCTATGTTTGCAGCTCAAGCGCCCCGTGCCATGGGCGGAGGAGGAGGTGGGGAGGGGGGAGAGAGTGGGGGGAGGAACAGGGAGGGGAAATTAGGAAATATATGGGGGGACATCCCAAAATTTGTGAAACCCATTCTGCCATTTGGAGTGTGGGACACCCGTGGGTAACCTCACCCCAGACTACCTCAAGACCCCTCGTGGGTAGTGGCGACGCACACGACACTCGCAAAATGTTTGTCAATTGTCGCATGGGGTCCGACCAGCCAATAGGGCGCAAGCTTGGTTGGAGGTGACTTGCAGGTAACTCACAGGTTGGGCCCGGAACAAGCCCTCAGACTAGACTTGATCCGAGAAGAGAATTTCGTGTAGAAGCGTGTCATATGATGGACAGAACAAGAAAATGGCGTTTGCTTTTTGACGAAACGTGTATAATGGGGTTTGAAAGTGATGGGTGAGCCTTGACTGGCTGACCAATGAATGCATCGTTGGGTTTATACCCATTGGTCGATTTCTCGACTTATCCAAGTTCCAGCGAACCTCCTGGCTTCTTGTGTATTCCCAAAAATTTGTAGGGCGTTCTCGGCGTCTTGGGATTCAAGTACAGAAGACTCGGTGCCATCAGCTCTTGACACATATGATGTGAAACAGCTTCATTTAGTGTCTCTATTGGTATGAAGTTTTGCCTCCATTCGGCTCACTGGATACGACCCATATAGCAACACCTAACTGTGACAACGAATCCCAGTCCTAACTGCGTAGTATGTTTTTCTCAGCTATCTAAACTATTGCAACTGTCTAGTCCTCGGTATCGCCATGTATTTTCCCCCATTCTCTTCCTTGTGTGTGCTTGTTCTGCTTAAAGCTTCCGGACGCGCATTCGGGCTGAAGGGTGCGGGCAATGAGCAGTGGCCGTAGTCGAGGCAAGCAGAACACGTCTTCCAGACGGGTATGTCAGACACGTTTTGTGGCGATGTCGTCCCGAGCCAGCCTGTTGTTTCTGTTCGGGTTTTCTATTCCTATGAGCATAATCCTTTTACATCTTCCTCCCGCACTTTCCCTCCTTACCATTCCCCTAGGCCTTTTGCGCATCTTCTCGCGGTGCACGTCGGGCGCGTGAGCTTCTCTGCACGTTGGGCGGGACGCACGAGCTACTCGCGGTGCACGGCAAGCGGGATGTCTGAGCTTCTCGCGGTGCTCGCCGCGCATCCCTATCAAACTCAAGTGGCTCCTCTCCATACTCAGGTATGGTTGTAGCACTTTCTCATTGCCCCCCTTGTGTCCGGATCCTACTCGTCATTCCCCCCTCGCCCGCCCTCCTTGCGTCCTTCTTGCCGCACTCTATTTCCCCCCAGCTTTGACTGGCACCTTGTTCCATGCTCTTTACCTTACAAACTTTGTATCCCCTCCTTTCCTCGCCATCCTCATTGTCCCCCCTCCCTTCCCCCCCTCCCATCCCCCCCTCCCCCTCCCCTCACTATATAGCTGGTCTTCATTCGTTGGTAATTTTGTGCAACTGCCATGGGGTAAGTGGACATCTGTGTGGAATTGCTTTATACCCAGACTTACGCGGGCTTGTGCAAGGGTGGATGCAGGCCGCTCTTTCACACCTGATATTGTGCTTGACAATGTTCGTGTGTGCAGCGAACGGCTACCAGCCAGATGGCCATGCAGCAGCGGTGCTTGTGTAGGTTGGAAAAGAGGTGCTGGTGGTATGCGTAGGCAAGCTTAGCTAATACGCCAAGTTGGCATTAGGAGGAGAGGGAATCTGCACAAAACTCTAGGTAATTGCAGCTAAATTAACCACCTTGTTTTGCATGCTTTGTGTTGTGATAAAACTGATTGTAATGGCGATAAGCTAAGCTTTTTGTAACAATTATATGTGCGTAATAACGAGTTTTACAATGCCTCGAAATGAATTTGCCCTCAGTGCTACAGTAAAGTCATAAATACAGGCAGGCCCGCTAATGTATTGGTTGTGCTAATATCGAAGTAAGTAGTTAAACAGTTGATATGTTGAGTGTAGTGATATTTCGTATCGGGGCGCCAGTGATGAGGATTGAGTGTGCTATTGTTTTGCGCATAAGGGCCATCATGTTATCGCGCAAGTGTACTCCTTAACCACAAACGATTTCATAGTTTGACGGGGATAAGAACCCCTCAAAAGGTTCACGTCACGTTCACCCCGACACACCCGAAGGTGACAAGTTGGTGTCGCGAGGGTGACATCACGAGGGAATCCTGAGGGTTACCTCAAAATGCATTTTGGTCGCTGGTTTTCCCGATGTGACCCAGTCGGAAGCCCCAGGGTTACCCCCAGGCGCGAAACTCAAAGGTCATTTGTGGTAGTCTTGGGGGTAACATTTTGCCACCCTAATTTTTGGGATGGAGTGGGGGGACGGGGAGGGGGAATAAGGAGATATGTGGGGTGAGGGGGGGGTGCGGGGAGGGGGAATTAGGTAGGAGATATGGTGGGGGGGAGGGGGGGGCGGGGAGGGGGAATCAGGAGGTATGAGGAGCATGATGCATCGTAAAAGTTGCAGCAGATGGCGTATGGTTATTTTAAATTAAAACATGTGTGTGCCATACTTGGCAGATGCACTTATAGTGTTAAGGACCCTGGACTGGAGAGAAATTACTTGGTAGCAGCAGAAGACCTGCCGTCTTAGAAGGTGATTTATTTGGGGTTGAGCTTATTAGGCTTTGTATTAGCTTGCATACCCTCAGAATGGGCCGCATCAACAATGCGGTTTGCATACATATGCAACATGTGTACAGAATTGGTCATTAAAAAATCTGCTACTACACCTGGAGACTCTAACATTCCACTCCAAGTGTTACAGCGTTCAATGAAAGGTACAGTGCTGTGATGGGTTACTGTATCCATGTGAAACAAATCCCACTGAAACGGGCCAATTTCCAGGCCACCTTGCAAGTAGAACCGAGCATTTCCCATGACAATTTCGATGGCTGCCTGAACTCCTGCTTCCTAGCTTTTCCACAATGAACCATTACCAGACCTTGTGCTCTCCCCCCAGTGTCCAACCTCTAGGGAATGTCTTGTAGATTTAGCAGTTTCTTTGGCAAGACGGATCAACAATCTTGAGCTTCGTAGCGATTCTCAGCCATGGATGACACGGCGTCGCTCTTCTTCCAGCTGACTCCGCAGCAATCTCTCCCGCCTCGTTTGAATGACATCCCCGCAGCCGCTGGTTGGCTGCGGAGCTTCGCCGGGCACAGCTGGCTGGCTTACGGCGCCGGTGGCTGCGTTGTAATCACAACCGCTCCCTGGCTCGTGCACGGCAGCGGCGCGCGAGAGGACAGCCTGCCACGTGGCGCTCGTTTCTACCACCAGGTCCTGGAACTCCCGCCGTCACTCAATCCAGAATCTGCTGACGTGGATCTCGCATCACACTCATATCCAATCTTACCGACGACAATCTTGCCTGATCAGAGGAGGCAGGAAGGTAGCGCTGCAGGGAAATCGCCGACTTCGGAGGATGGGGAGCAGGTAACCGTTGTGACCTGGGCAGCATCCGAGAGCAGATTGGCGGGAGTTTTGGCAGCAGCTAAGGGAACCTGCGCGTATCTCTTCTCTCCTTGCTGTCAAGATGGCTCGCAGCTACTGGCTTTGCTACCCGGAGCATGGTCAGGTCAGTGCTCTGTCCCAGGCTGACGGTCTCGTTATAAGGCGTCCCGATAACGGATATTCCGGATATTCCTAACTGACTGAATGACTGATGCTCCAGACTGTCGATGCTCCAGACTGCCTGACTGTCTCATGGTTCCTTGAAACCTTTCCGAATCCCAGGATCTGAGCCCTTATTTTGGAAATCCGCCTGACGTCTTTTCGTTGCCTATTCCGTCACTCTTTACCTGTACAGATATCCCTCTCCCATAGTGACCCGGTCAGTTGATCCGGTTCCCTTCTGATGCCATCTCTTCAATACGGTCTGACCCTCCTTTTCCCTGCGCCTCACTCTTCGTGTGTGCAGATATCCCTCTCTCATGGCAGCCGGCTCAGCTAATCAAATTTCCTTCCAAGGTCATCTCCCTCGCATGGACGGGCTCAGCAGATGGCCTTCTGATCAGCGGCGAGTCAAATGTCGCCATGTGGCACCGTTCCAAGAGGAAGCAGCAGGTGACGCCCCTGCTGCAGCCGCTGACGTGTCTGTGGCAGGTGCAGGCACGTGTCGCACAGGGACTGCCCGCGACCTCACTGCACGCAGACGGATTTGCTGCCACTGCTGACGTGGCAGTAAGAGGAGGGGATGGATGTGTAGCAGGGTCGGCATGGGGACGGCCGAAGGGCATGGCTAGGGTCTGGTACTTCTGGGGAGATCAATGTTCCGCTTTTGACGGTGATGGGGAGATTGGAAGCAGGAGCAGATTGGTCAACGGGATGTCCGAGGGAGTTTCACGCGTTTCGGGAGGAGAGGAAGCTGGGGAGGGTGTGATGGATAGAGAGGGGATGCGGAGGGAGAGGAGGATGAGGAGGATGAGGAGGATGGGGAGGAGGAAGCAGAGGATGATGCTGTGTCCGTGGTTGATCTGCCGCATCCAGCACCTGTTGTGGCCGTCCAGTGGAGGCCACAAGATAGGACCTCCAGGCCTTTGTCTTCTTCTGGGGTAGGTGCAACTGGCGCTGGTGCAGGTGGATCAGCTGCATCAGGCTCGGTGCCGTACCACCGTCCGATCCTAATGACCTGTGCTGAAGACGGTACGGTGCGGCTATGGATGGAGATTGACAGTGGCAGCGGCCGGACCAGAGGGGGAGGCTCGGCAGGAGCGGCAGGTTCGGGGAGTCGGGCTGGGAGCCGGATGAGCTCGCCGAAGCACCCAGGGAGCAGCAGGTACGGGAACCAGAACGAGAACCCGAACCTGGAGGCTGGGTTCGGTCAGAAGCGAGGGAAGGGGGCGGAGAGACAGGTGGCTGACGAGGGTAGATGGGCGAGTCCCCCTGCTTTTTTCGTGTGTGCTGTTGTTGATGCAAACATGTCTCTAGGCGGGAGATTGGGGATGGATATTTCTGTGCTGTGGTCCAAGGAGGTTCGGGTGGGGGATGGAAGTAAGAGTGTGAGTGCGGGAGGAGGGGAGCAGGAGGAGGAGGAGGAGGGGGGTCGTTTGGAGTGGAGTTGATACAAGGAGGTGATGTGGCGCCCTGTGAGTGGCTGGTTGGCGTGGGCCCACGTGGCACCGTGGTTCTCTGGGCCGTGTTCTGCCTGGATGACACGTCACCGCCCCGCTGTCCGCGACTGATGATGTGGCAGCAGGCAACTGGCGTTCTGCAGAATAAGGGACTCGGCCACACGCACACGGAGAGTCGCACCCACAATCACACCCACCCTCACAATCACCTTTCCTGCCCTAGAACCCACCTTATCTCAGCCATCGTCCAAAGAGTCACCGGCCAGTCCGGCAGCCCTCCCATGGCAGTCGAAATCGCAGAGAAGCTGCCCGGGAGCTTTGTCCGCTGGTCGCGCCTGTGGCCGCCTGTGCTTGCGATAGGAGCCGGGGGGAAAACGGGCGGCAGGATTGGGGTCAGTTCGGATGGAGCAGCAGGGGGAGGCGGAGGGGCAAGCCATAGCGGCGTGGGCTACAACAGCCACATCAACAGCAGCAACACCGTCGGCAGCAACAGCAGCAGCACCATCAGCAGCAGCAGCAGGAAGGCAGCATGGGGGTGCGTGAGCCAGCACCTGCAGCTCACGGGGCACAGAGGGGCGATATCAGAGATGGCTGTTCACCCTGCGCCAGCCTTCCCCATCGCTGCTACCCTGGACGCCCACGGCAGTACCCTCCTGTGGGGCCCACGCACCCCTCCCTGGCTGTCGCTGCTCACAGAAGCCCCAGAAGGTTGCTCTAATGAGTGGGTTCTGCTGGGCTCGCTGCCCTGCCTCGCCCACCTTCCCTCTGCTGTGGCTCAATCGAGTGTGCCTGTAGAGGGAGCTGCGTCTCAGCAGCAAGTTCTGTCTGCAGCAGCAGACCTGGCAGCAGATTCAGCAGATTCAGCAGCAGCAGCAGCAGCAGGGTTAGCAGGCAGTGGGGGTAGTTACGTGAAGGGTTTCTCACGGCTGGCGTGGACCCCTGTCCTGCTGCCAGGTGGCGCAAGCATACTGGCTGTTGCTGGCGTGGCGAGTGTGGATTTGTATCTAGTGAGACGCGTGCGTGAGGGGGAGGACAGGGAGCATGGAGGGGGAATGGGGGACCATGATGGTCAAGGGGATCTTGGGGGTCATGGGGGTCATGGGGATTATGCTGGTGATGCAGAAGAGCATGCGGAGTGCCGGTGGTTGTGCTCTCTTACTTCCCGGAATGCATCGCCTGAAGCACTTCCAGAAGATGCTGCAGCGCCAGCAACGGCCACAGCTGAGGCTACAACTGCTGCTACAGCTGGCCCAGCTACAGCCGGTCCGTTCCTGGGTGTGGCCTGCCTGCCCCACTCACCTCACTCGGAAGCCCATGTGTCGTCCTATGCAGACAAAGAGCAAGCCGGTTCAGCTTTTGCAGGGAGGGAGAGGACCCGAGTGCTGGGAGTGGCGCAGGGAGGGCTCTGTGTGTGCGTGTGGACAGTGGAGATATGCACAACGAGTGGGGAGGTAGGGTCTATGGCAGCTGGTGAGAGCGACACAGTGGCTGGGCCAAAGGTGGGAAAAGGAGGGGGAGAAGTGACGTGGGATGCGAGTGCACGGGCTGTGGGCTGGCTGGTGGGTGTGCAGGAAGAGGAGCGGCATGGAAGTGCACAGGGGCGCCTATACATGCCATGTACTGTGATTGTAACGAGCATGAGTGTGCTCAGGTTCCAAAGCAGCAGTCGAGTCACGTGCCTGCACTGCGCACCTGTGAGTGACGCCCTCTGGGCATCTTCGCACTCAGCGGAACGAGGACATGACAAGGGGAAGGACAAGAGCTTGGATGGTGGTGGTGGCACTGGTGCGTCTGGTTCTGCTGACTTGCAGGCATTGCAGGAGATGCTCAGTCGAAGGGCTGGATGCAAGAGGCTTCTGGTTTGCTTGGTGAAGCAGGAGGGGTTTCTGCTGGTGGACAGTTTGCTGCCCGTTTTGGGCTGCCCGAGGGGAAGCATAAGGAGGAGAGGGAGGAGGGTTTGCCGTACGACTTTGCTGTTGGGTGCAGCGATGGATGCATGCGATTCTGGAAGGAGAAGGGGGGTGATGTGGCAAGTGATGAAGCGAACGCTGCCCCAGCAGCAGCACTAGCAGCAGCAGCAGCAGCAGCAGCAGCAGCAGCAGCAGCAGCAGCAGTGGCAGTAGAAGGAGGAGCAGAAGCTGCAGCGGAGGGGAGCGTCAGCTCTGGAGCTTGGGAATGTGTTGGCTGCGTTAGAGTCTCCTCTGGACCCGTTATAAGCACTAGCGCATGTCCGAGCGGCACCCTCTTCGCGTCAGTGGCAGTAGAGGGCAACAAAGACAGTCAACCAAGGAGCATTCAGCGAGAGAGGCCCATGGGACGCCTGTCTATGGAAGGAGCAGACGAAACAGCAAATGAAACTGCAAATGAAACAGCAGATGAAACCGAGAACGGGTCAGCAGTGGGATCAACTGTGTCTCTGTGGGAAATGCTTCCTGCTGCCATTCCCGGCTGGTCGTCCTTTCGACTGGAAGGAGAGATCCAAGTCTCCCTGACCACACCACTAGGCTCGGCAGCTGGGGCTGCTTCTGCCGAACCTGCTGCTCTGGAATGGCTGGGGCGCGAAGCAGTGCTCATGGCTTGGCACGATTCCGGCAACGGGCATTCACTCCTTGCAGTAGCCGCAGCCTCTAGGGTTTGCATCTTCACACGCGCACGCACGCCTGCTCCTCTCCCCCTTAACCCCAATCTCGGCCCCCTAGGCTCCCTTGGTGCTGCCACCGCTGCTGATGGTGTGGCTGGTGCAGGGGGTGGTAGTGGCATTGCTGCTGCTGGGGGTGGTAGTGGTCTTGGGTCTGCTGGTCAGGACAAGGGAAGTGTATACCAGGAGTGGAATCGGTCAGGGGGAAGGATACAGGAAGCTTCCACGGGGAGGCGTGATCCAGGGGAGGTGGTAGGGGCGGGCGGGTGGAAGGCCCCAGGGTGGGCGGGGTGGGTGGAGGTGGGGCGGGTGGAGCTGGGGGAGGTGGGATCCGTGCGGTGCCTGACGTGGGCCCCACAGGGGGTGCTGCTGGTTGGCACGGGGCAGCAGCTGCTGGTGATCAGCCCAGTGATGAAAGCAGAGGCTGGAGCAGCAGCAGCAGGAGCAGTGGTAGCAGCAGGGGAAGGGGGAGGTTTAGGTCCAGGAGGGGCTAATGCAGCTGGTGCGATCCCAGCAGCAGACGGACCAGGCTTCAGGGCAGGAGGGGTTGGGGGGACAGGCACTGCAGCAGCAGCGGCGGCAGCGGTGGCAGCAGGGGGAGACAGGGCAGGGGGTCTAGCAAGCAAGGGCGGGCTTGGGCTTGCTGATTCCCGGGAACCATCAGCAGCGGACCTGTCCATCTCCCCCTGGCTCTCCCCCGCCAGCTCCCTAACCTCCATGTCGCACCTCAGCCTCACAGACCTGGCAGTTGTGGCCTCCCGAAGCGGCAGGTCCGGGGCTGGCGCGCAGGCTCGGCCCGTGCCTCGGGTGTCGAGCCGGCTGTCTCTGCCTCTCTCTGCATCGGACCCGGCGCTAGCAGCCGCTCAGAGTGTTCTTGTTGGGGCAGGTGTGGCGGGGGCAGGGGCAGGAGGAGCAGGACGGGGAGGGGTGGGAGGAGGGGTAGGCGGCACAGGAGGGGGTCGGCTGATGCCATACACTCCTTCTGCTCCCAACTTTGGCCTTCTGGCGGGTTCTGCAAGAAGTGATACTGGCAGCAGTGGGGTACGGGGACGGCCTTACCAGTGGAGCAGGAGGCGTAGGAGGAGGGGGGATGGTCCCGGAGGGGGGGTCAGAGGGCGAGGACGTGAAAGTGTCAGCGTTGGTCAAAGCCCTGGATGGCAGTGGGCGGCTGCTATTATCAGATGCAGTGGCGGCAGTGGCGTCAGTGGTCCCTGATTACCACCCCACTGCCATCTGGACTTTGCTCAATCAGGGCCTTGTTCAATCCGCCCGGGCCTGCATCCGCCATCTCGCTCACTCTCTTGCCTGTTCACTTGCCCATTCTCTTGCCCGTTCGCTTGCCACGGCCCATGTGAATACTCTCTCCTCCTCTTCCGCTCGTTCCCGCGTCTCTCCCTGTGTCCCCTACTCTCAGCTGTGCCTGCCTGCTCCCTCCTCCTCGCTTGCACCTGCCTCGACTGCTGGTGTGGCTGGTGCTTCTGCTGCTTCCAGTGGCCGTTTGTCAGGGGGGTTTGGAGGGTTTGGGGGGATTCCACTGGGTACAGCAGCACATTAGGGAGCAGTATGGGTAGCAGGCTGGGAGTTGCAGGTTCTGGGTTTGGTGCGGGTAGCAGCGGTGGTGTTGCTGGGGGTGTTGGTGGAGGGAGTAGTGCTGGTGGTGGTGGTGGGGGGTCCAAGGGGGCGTATAACCCTTTCAGCCTTGTGAACGTGAGGAGTGCTTTGGATGATAGTGACGATGAGGATGACGAGGGGTCGAGGGGGACGAGGGAGGCATCAGGAGAGAGCAGCCAGAGCTGGGCTGGCGGCGTTGCTGGTGAAATGAGTCTTGGAGGAGAGGGAGGTGTGAAGGGTGGTGGTGCCGTTGTGTCTCCTGCAGTGTTGCGGTGGCAGCAGCTGCAGCAGAGGGTGCTGGTGGGGGGGCACGCCCCCTTCACACAGGACGAAGCCACGGCCATATTCCAGGTGCTATCTGATGCAGGCAGCACTATTCGCAGTGGCAACAGCAGCAGCAGCAGCAGCATCAGCAGCAGCGCTGGTGGAGCAGGGGCGGGGGTGCCTGGCTTGACTGCTGGTGAAGCGGACATGGTGGTAGTGTTGTTGGATGTGGTGGCTGCGATGGATGGGGTGAGCATCAGAGAGGAGCGAGAGGGGGATGGTAGCGATGTAGGTGGTGGCTCTATCGGGAAGGAGGCTGGCGGAACGGGCACAGCAGCGTCATCTTCATTGGCCCGTGCGGTCATGGCTCTGGATGAACCGGGGAAAAGGTAGACACTTTCTGGCCTGCTGCTCTAACTTCTCCCTTTCTTCTATCCCCCCCCCGCATCATCTCTTCGGGTGCTGGTGCATCGGGCACAGCAGCATCATCTTCAGTGGCGCGTGCAGTCATGGCTCTGGATGATCCGGGGAAAAGGTAGACCCTCTTTAGCCTGCTGCTCTACCTTCTCCCTTTCTTCTCTCTCTCCCCCCTTCCCCCTCTCCGCCCCTCCACCCCTTCCCCCACCCCCATCCCCTCTTCTCTCTCACCCGCCTCTCTCAAGTGGTCTTTCTCCCTCCCTCTCTTCCCATCCCGCCACAGGTTCTGGCTTTCGATGCATCTCTCTCGTGCAGCCAGGAAGCACCAGCCTGGGAGCAGCAGATGTGCCCTTTTCACTAAACCCTCTCAATTGGTCCTTTGTATTAGGTAGGGTAGGGTACAGGCATGGCAGCGGACAGCGCACAACAGTTGAGACCTAACAACCCAGGCCAGGGGACCTTAAGGGTCCCCCAGCACTAAACCCTCTCTCTGCCTTCCCCCCTCCCTCCCTCTCTTCCCATCCCCCCACAGGTTCTGGCTTTCGATGCACCTCTCTCGTGGCAGCCAGGAAGCACCAGCAGCGCCGCGCTGCCGCCATCGCCGCCGCTGCCGCTGCTGCAGCAGCGAAAGAGGCGTCCACTGCAGCAAGCACTAGACTGGGAGCAGGTGCTTCCTCCACTGACCGTAGAGGCAGCAGCAGCAGCAGCATCAGGCCTGGGGGGGGGTTATCCGGGGGAGGCGCATCTGGTGGTGGGAGAGTGGACGGAGGCAATCAGGTGCAGCAGCAGGGGCAGCAGGGAGAGGGGGAGGGGCAGGGGCAGTTGGAGGTGGAGTCTCGAGCAGTGGCGTGGGCGGTGCACACAGAATCAGTGGGCGATCTGGTGAACGCGTGTCTGGAGGATGCTGACAAGCCCACCTGGGCTGGATTGAGGGCGCTGGGTGTGGGCTACTGGCTCTGCAACACCATGCAGCTACGGCAACTGGTGGGTGCTCTCTTAATAAATCGCTCCTGCCGGTAGTTGGTACCGTGGTAATTGGTAGATGGTGTGGAGGGTTTTTGAGGCGCCTCAAAAATTGGTACCATGGTAACTGGTAGGTGGTGTGGGCGGTCCACACAGGGGCAGTGGCCGATCTGGTGAACGAGTCCAGGAGGAGGATGTGGGAGAATCGTTCCTGGGCCGGGCTGAGGGCGCTGGGTGTGGGCTACTGGCTCTGCAACACCATGCAGCTACGGCAACTGGTGGGTGCTCTCTTAATAAATCGCTCCTGCCGGTAGTTGGTACCGTGGTAATTGGTAGATGGTGTGGAGGGTTTTTGAGGCGCCTCAAAAATTGGTACCATGGTAACTGGTAGGTGGTGTGGGCGGTCCACACAGGGGCAGTGGCCGATCTGGTGAACGAGTCCAGGAGGAGGATGTGGAGAATCGTTCCTGGGCCGGGCTGAGGGCGCTGGGTGTGGGCTACTGGCTCTGCAACACCATGCAGCTATGGCAACTGGTGGGTGTTTCTGTGGAGAATGTGTTTCTGTGGTAGTAGCTGGATTGCATATTATAGCCACAGAGGCATCGCTGTGGAATCCTCATTCTTTTCCATCTATTCCTTATTCCTCCCCTTCCCTTCTCCCCCCCTCCCCTGTAGATGGAGCGAGTGGCGAGGGCGCAGTACCAGCAGCGGCGGGACCCCAAGGACTGTGCACTGCTGTACATGGTGCTGGACCGCCGCACCGTGCTGCAGGGGCTGCTCAAGCTCAGCAGGGACGACCGCGACAAGAAGCTCGTTGACTTCCTGGGGCGGGACTTCTCGGTACGTGGGCTAACTAGTTACTGTATGCGTAGCAACTGTGCGCTGCTGGACAAGAAGCTTGTTGACTTCCTGGGGAGGGACTTCTCGGTATGTGCACTGGCTGGTACCTGCATAGGTAGTAGTAGCTGTGTGTGTGCTGTGCGCCCGACTGGTACCTGCGTATGCATCCCCCCTATGCATCCCCCCTATGCATCCCCCCCATGCATCCCCCCCTATTCATCCCCCCCTATGCATCCCCCATATGCATCCCCCCCCATGCATCCCCCCCCATGCATCCCCCCCCATGCATCCCCCCCTGCACCCTGAGGTGAGTACATCCCCTCCGCTGCCTCTGTGTGCTTCGAAGTGTTCAACTTCCTCCGCAACCCAATCTTTGCCCCCCCCCCCCCCCCCCCCCCCACTCCAACAGGAGGAGCGCCACAGGGCAGCGGCCCTGAAGAACGCCTATGGGCTGCCTGAGGAGCTTCAACCTGGTATCTGAAGAGCTTCCCCCCCCACCCCCTATAACCCCTATTCAACCCAACAGGAGGAGCGCCACAGGGCAGCGGCCCTGAAGAACGCCTATGTGCTCCTGTCTCAACACAGGTTCGAATTGGCAGCCACCTTCTTTCTCCTAGGGGAGGACATCCCCTCCGCCGCCTCTGTGTGTGCGCGCAACCTGCGGGACCCCCAGCTGGCGCTCGTGCTGTGCCACCTGCGGGAGGACAAGGCGGGGGCGGTGGCGTACTCCAGGGATGTGATTGAGCGGCTGCTGCTGCCGGATGCTGCTGCCAAGGGGGACTCTTGGATGGTGTGCACACTCAAGGTGAGAGGGTGGGGCTTTGTGGTCTGTGAGTTTCTCCCTCTGTGTGTGGGGGGATTCTGATGGTTGAGCATTCACACCAGAGTGCTCCTCAAAGCCCAACCTGAGGGGACCCCCAGCTGGCGCTGGTGCTGTGCCGCCTGTGGGAGGACACGGGGGGGGCAGCAGCTTACTCAAGCGATGTGATGGAGAGGTTGTTGCTGCCGGATGCTGCGGCCAAGGGGGACTCTTGGGGGGTGTGCACACTCAAGGTGAGACTCGGTGGTTTGTAAATTCCTTGTTTGTCTGCACCAGCAACCTGTGACCCATTCTGTGCCGCCTGCGGGAGGACGAGGGGGGGACGGCTGCATACTCGAGGGATGTGATCGAGTGGCCGCTGCTGCCTGATTCTGCTCCTAGAGGGACGCTTGGATAGTGTGCACGCTCAAGGTGAGGGAACAGAGGGGTGGTAGTGTACTCGCGATGCCTGCTACCTATTGGACCGAAAAAACTTATTCCAGAAATTGCCGTGACTGCCAGAGATTGCTATAACCGACATACTTTGCTACACCGTGTTGCTTCTCTTTCATTACACCTCCCTTGTCATTGCGTCCACACCACACTCCATCCTAGGGTTGAGCAAACTACCCGCCCGGGTCGGGTACCCGGTACCCGGACCCGCTTTTAGGGCGGGTCGGGTATCGGAAATCCTGAAAATTACCCGCCGGGTCGGGTCCGGGTTACCCGGGCCGGGTATCAATACCCGCTACCCGGAATGCTACCCGACGTGTCGGGTAACGGGTACCCGACCCGGTCGGGTAAAAAATTACCCGAGGTCGGGTATTCCACCTAGACATGGGCGTAAGTCGCGCTGTGTTTTAGGTTTTGCGGCAAAACCGTTTTGGAGGTGAGGGGGGACGAGTGGAGCCCTACCTACCTAGCCTAGCCTAGCCCAACTTTAGGATGTCCACTAGTAGGTGGCGGGTAAAATTACCCGCTTTTCAGGGGGTCCGGGTCGGGTATACCCGGACCCGCCAGGCGGGTATTATAATACCCGCCTAAAAAAACCGGGTCCGGGTAAGGGTCCTGGGCATATTACCCGACCCGGACCCGACCCGAAATTACCCGACCCGAGGTCGGGTATGGCAAAACCGGGTCGGGTCGGGTAATTACCCGGTTTTGCTCATGCCTACTCCATCCATCCCATCCATCCCATCCCATCCCATCCCATCCCATCCCATCCATGCCATCCTAACCCGTTGCTTTTCCCCATGTCGTCCCGCCATCTCATCCTGCTCCACCCCTTGTCTACCCTTATCAGTGGCTTATGGGGAGAAAGCTCGAGTCTCTTCAAGACCTTGTTTATCCTCCCACCAGCACACCCCCTTCCTCACTCGCTCCTCCTCCTCCACTGCCACCTCAGCACTCACCCCGTCACAACCCGCCACATCATCACCATCACAAGCAGCTGCCACGTCAGCAGCCGAGCCTGCTGGCGCTGAGGGTGGCGGCGTTTTGCACCACGGTGGCAAAGAAGCCGGGGTTAGGGGAGGATACAGAGGCAGTGCAGAGACTAGCAGCAGTGGCAGCAGTTGAGGCTGTGAGCGGGAGTGACCACATGGGACTCGTGCTGCAGGCTGTACTGGAAATCACCAAGCAGAGGGGTTCTGGTCTGGTTCAGAGCGGTGCTAATCAGGTGCAGAGCGGTGCGGGCGGTTCAGTGGTGGAGCATGGGATTTCCAAGACAGCGGCAGCTTCAAGAGGCGCAGGTGAAGCAAGCTCTTCTACTGTGTCGATGCCATCAGCGTCCATGCCATCAGTGCCTAAGGCTGCAGTGTCTGTGCCAGCATTGGTGGGGGAGGGATGGGTGCACCCAGCAGTGGTGGCAGCAGTGCAAGCAGCCAAGCTGCGGCAGCTGCTCAGGCAGAGAGCCGCTGCCGGCCTTGCTGCGGCTGGTGAGGTGAAAGGTACAGCAACAACCAATGATGGGGGAAGAGCAGAGGGCAGAGGAGGGAGAGGAGGTAGGGGAGGGGGAGAAGGAAGAGGCAGAGTCGGAGGAGGAGCAGGAGGAGGGGACAGTGGTGTGGAGGAGTTGGTGGAGGAGGTGGAAGCATGGTCCAAGCACTGTAAAGTTGATGCCACTGCATCCCTTGCTGCTGTGAGTCGAGTCGCTGCCTCCCGTGCTGCTCTGTTTTCGTCTTCTTTGCCACGTTGCTTCATGGCTTCTTCTCTGTACAATGTAGGGTATTTTGAGAATTCTCAAACAAATTGCAGGGTATTTTTGAGAATTCTAAAAAAAAATGCAGGCTATTTTTTAGAATTCTAAAAAAAATGCAGGGTATTTTTGAGAATTCTCAAAAAAATTGCAGGGTATTTTTGAGAATTCTAAAAAAAACTGCGAGGTGTTTTTAGAATTCTCAAAAAAAAGGCCGGGTATTTTTGAGAATTCTCAAAAAATTTGCAGGGTATTTTTGAGAATTCTCAAAAATACTGTACAATGTGTGTGTGTGCGTGCGTGTCTGTGTGCGTGCGTGCGTGTGTGTGTGTGGGTGTGTGTATGTGTGTGTGTGCATGTGTGTGTGTGGGTGGGTGGTGTGTGGTTGTGTCTGTGTGTGGGTGTGTTTGTGGGTGTGTGTGCGGGTGTGTGTGTGTGCGTGCTGTACCCTGCGGTGCGTCTCTTCTATCCGCCTCTCAGCTCTTCCTTCACCTCGTGCACTCCCCTTCCGCCATCCACCTCCATTACTGCGCTCCTTGTCTGTCCCCCTGTCTGCCATCGCTATGCCTCCCTCATGACCCCCTCTCCCCCCTCCCTCTCCCCCTCTCCCTTCTCATCCCCCCCTCCCCCCCCCTCCTCCTCTCCTGCCGCTCACCCCTCCTCTCCCCCGCTTCCCACCCCCCGCCCCAAACATC